TTATTTGGGATCTGGCCTGTTTTAAAGACAGTAAAGGGAAATAATGTTTGGTTATATTTCTCCAGGATTGATCAGACATAAAAAGAGCAACCAATATTTTATTTCCTTTTGCATTACCACCTACATTTGAAACTGAAAAGGATTAACAAGTTTTGGTGAAGAGGAAGCTTGGGGACAACATTCTATTATGTTAGCCTTCTAAAAAGGTATATAATTTCCAAGGCCCCACCCAACAATTTTTAAAATCAAATGAGATGATGGTGTGAAGAGCACTTTACAAACCTTAAAGCATAGTATAAATATGAGCAACTATTAAATTCAAAGTGAATGTTATTTTCAAAAAAATAGAATAAAGTAAAATTTTAAAATTAAATTAAAATTTCAAAATAAAATAAAATTTAAAAATAAAGATGGACTGATGTGCTGTAGTTCCCTTTCCATTCAATAAATGTAGAAAAACTACATGTTACTTTGTGCTCAGTGATCTGTATCATTTTATATATATTAATACCACTTCAGTTCTCTTGAATGAGATTGTGGCTTCAGTATCAAACCAAGTGTGAGAGGAGTTTGGAATTAGTGAAATCTTAATTCTATCCAGCTTTTTGACAAAAACTCTCATAAAATGTAACAGCACCAACCAAATATTCACCCTCCTTCCTCTTCCCATCCCTCATAGATTGGTAGGCATTATATTAAAGCCATAGCACGTAACAGCAGATGGACTGTGCAAGAAGGAGGAAGTCCCCAAAGGATCATTTGATCATTTTATTACTTACATTGATATACAAATATGGACATTATCCAAGAGTCATGGCCAAGCATGTATTCTGGTGTGATTTACAATATTCATTCAGTTATTTCACTGAACCAAAAAATTAACCATCCAACACCCATTTATTACACTTAAAATTTCTCAGGAAAATAAACACTCCTACTATATGTATTTGTCTCTTTTTAATTTGGATGTTTGAGAGGTATGTATGTACATATGTATTGCTTGTGTGTGGTAGAGCTTAACATTAACATTACAATATCCTTGTAAAAAGTAAGTTATTGTAGTTATCTCTTCCATGCAGTTAAAGAATCCTGGACCCAGAGAAGCTACGTAGTTTACACAAGATTACAAAGCACTCATTAGTTACTTAAATTCCCAAAGCTGTATTAAGTTCGCAAAGATTTTCACATATATGCTTTTATGTAACATACATTTGTGCTGTGTATATACCACATGAGCAGTAACAGAACCGCGACAAAGGAGTCAAGGAGAAAGTCCCAAAAAACTAATGATCTGTGGAACATGGTAAAGCCTAGATAAAGAAATAGTCTAAGAGACTAAGTGGGACTCTAATAATCCCTGACAGGTCTATCATCAATAAAACACACTTTACTAAGACTCTCTCAGTATATTACTCTGTGTTCCATTGACATTTATGTGGCCCTTACTGTTAATGACCTGAAATGAAGGGGTTTTTGATGTGTGTTTTTTTTTCTTTTTTAAAGAAAAATAGGAAGAATGCTGAAGCTAGGACCCTGAAAAAGAAATGCTCAGTGATTCCAAATGAACTGGCCAACTTTCCGCTCATAGTTCACTCCCTCATATTCACACGGGGTGCTCCTACAGAATTGTCAACAAAGGTTGAGATGGTGGCTTTCACAGACACACAGTGCTGTAAGGCGTGCCAGAGGTTAAAGGCCAACTCTCCACTCTAATTATTATAATAATGATAATCATGATGATAACAATAATAGCTAGTATTTACATAGATTATCTCATTTGAGAGCTTCGACAAATTTAGCTAGGCTAGTCAGCAATAGATGCATGAAGTCTGTCATAGGTTCTGTGTTTGAAAGCCTTTCCAGTTTGTTAGCACCTTCCAGAGCTTACGTGGCTCTCAAAAACCCAGGGTCACCTCCTGCCACGATGAGTCCAGTCAGCAAGCATTCATTAAGCACTTAGGTGCCGGACTGTCCTAAGCACTGGGAATCCATATATGCAGAAAGAAAGACAGACCCTGTCCTCAAAGAGCTGATGTAGTAATGAGTAATCAGAGTCCCCCTTCAAGAGTATACACTTTAATTCGGGGTTTAACATTTCTCTTCAATGAAGGAATGAAAAAGCATTTATTAAGCACTGAATACATGCAATGTACTGAGGATGCAAATATAAAAGCAGGACAGTCACCTGAAGAGGAAGAATAAAACCTACTCCGTCCTGGAGTCACCATGACAATGAGAATATGTACAAAATCACATTCTTGATGAATTCACAAGATTCTCATAAAGGAAAATGTATTAGTGTAAAAACATAGATATCACAGTTTGAGAATGTAAACATAGGAACTACAAAAAAAAAAAATACCGTAAGATCCTTGATACTTCTCCACTCTTGCATAATCCATTACCCCCTTTAAACCTATAAAAATGAAAACTGTGCCACACAGACAGTGCTTAAAACAATTGGACTCAGTTTCCCCTTGTTTAATTAAGTAAAGTCCCTTTTGGCTTAAATAGCTAGACTCAGTGCTATCTGCTCTCAAGCAGCTCACCTTCTAATATTTTGGGGAACATAACACGTATAAAAGATGTCAGCTACAAGTTAGATGGAATGGCCAAGTGGTGTTTATTGTGTCGAAGCAACCCAGGTGGCGATGCATCTTTTGTGATATATCCATTTTCTGAGAACTGACAAGGCCAAGTACTCTGGTGGTAAGGATTTTCCCTTCTGAGTCTTCAATAGCCTGGTTTTTGAGCTGTTTGCAGCTGCAGCATCTGCAGAGGTCATATCTCCACAAGGGTTACTTCCCCAGGAAGTGACCATGGGAGACAGAATGGAAGCAGGACTAATGGTCTGCAAGATAAGAATATTTCCTTTATACCGGACCCCACTGTCCAGTTCTTTGTTTCATACTTCCCTTATGAGGCATTCAATGTAATAGTAAAATCATATAAAGCAAGCAGCTTATTAGGTTGACCTGTCATAGACAACAACCCAGAGGAGAGCAGGTATTACTAGGGGGCCTTCAAAGGACCAGGTAGAATCTATTTTTGAAACTGTCTAACCATGAGTAGTTATAGTGCATTGAGTGATCTTCTAAAACCAATAGCCCCAGCGGTATTTGGAGGGAAAATAAATGTCTTTCTACACATGTATAACCTTTATCAAACTGCTTGCCTTCTCAGTGAGGGGAGGTAGGGAGGGAGAGAATTGAGAACTCAAACTTTGAAAAACAAATGTTAAATTGTTTTGACATGTAACTGAAGAAAATTTTTTTAAAATAAAATACTAAAATATAAAAAAATCAGGTTCAAAGTGGGGGTAGGATATTGGAAATTAAACAATAGGCATCAGTGAAACATGGAGAAAAAGCATACTGCAAACCTTAAAGTTTATAAACATAAATGTGAGTTGTCTTCTTCAAACCACTGTACAAATAGAATCTAATAATATTAACTGTTACCTCCCTGGTGACAAAATCTGGAATGATTTGGAGCTTTTTTCTGATGGGTCCATTCATGAGTGCACTTAACTTATCGTGGTGTAGTTGTCCGACATGGCAGTGATAAAATTGAACTGAAACAAAGCCAGTCTGCATTGAGTCATTGGACTGAAAATAGCTCCAAAAGAAAAAAATATATAATAAACATCTTTGAAGAATATGACAATATATTTGTAAATAGGGATTAGTGTCTATGATATATATCAGTCTGAATTTTAGGAAGCCTTGAATTCTCACCTTGCCTTTGGAAAGAGTGCTGGCTCTGGAGTTAGAGGAACTAAGATTCCAGTCCTGCTTCTGGTATTTGTAATGTGTATGACTTTGGGCAAGTCATTTAATTTCTCTGGGTCTCAGTTTCCTAATCTGAAAAATGAAGAAATTGGACTAGGTAGATTACCTCTGTGACCCTGACATCATCTCTGAGCCTCAATTTCCTCATCTGTAAATAACTAATACTAATAATAATACCTACCATTTATATAGCACTTTCTTTGTCCAGGAACTCTGCTAAGCTCTTTACAGTTATCTTATTTGAGCCTCACAACAACCCTGGGAGGTGGGTGCTGTTATTACGCCCATTTTATAGAGGAGGGAACTGAGGCAAACTGAGGTTAAACAACTTTTCCAAGGTCAGGTGACTTGTAAATGTTGGATGCCGGATTTGAATTCAGGTCTTTCAGGCTCCAGGTCGAGCGCTCTATCCACTTTGCCACTTACTGAAAGGGTTGGATTGTAGACAGCTGAGATCCCTTCTAGGTCTATGAACTTTAGTATTTCATATTTTTCCCCTTATAGAGATACTCATTCCCTGTTTACCAGAGGAATTCGTAGAAATCAATCCATGGCTGATACTTTTAGCACCTGAGATGGATTGCATTGAAATAGATTAAATAGAACATCCAGTCATTGTTCTAGAGCTGAAAGTTCAGAACCTCAGAGGCCATCTGAGTCCAGCCCCCTCATTTTACAGAGGCCCAGGAAAACTGAATGACTTGCCCAATTACACAGGTATTATTATGACACAGGTAATAAGTGCCACCAGTGAAATGTAAACCCAAGAACCAGTCATCCTTCCGTTGGATTGGTTCGGTCCTAGATTACTAGAGGGAATAAACTCTCATTGTACCTAAAGGAAGCATTGCTTTGAGTTTTAGGAAAGCACTATCCTAAGGACTGTAAATACCATTAAATTTAATTGCGTTTCTACAACTGTGGCCGAAACTAATTGCTAACTGGGAGGAGGTGGGCTGTGAGGGGAGGGAGGAGGACAGTGAAAGGGCAAGCCTGCATTGGCATGGCAAAAAGAAGGGAATTTCTGAAAGAAAAGAAAAGAAAAAGCATCTAGTTACACTGGTTTTGTCGGTTTTGTTTTTTTAATTATTATTATCATGTCTGAAGCCGTCCTCTTATGAGGAGCCCGGGCACAGCAGGGAAATGCAAGTGCACAAGTGTACTTTGAGATGAACATTAATAATTTCCCCTTTTTTCTCCTTCTCCTAGATTGTAGACAGCAAACTGTGGTTCCAGTTGGACTGTGGCACGGGGCCTGGCATCTTGGGCATCTCTGGCCGGGCCGTGAATGATGGGAATTGGCACTCAGTCTTCTTAGAGCTCAATCAGAATTTCACAAGCTTGTCGCTGGACGATAGCTATGTGGAACGCCGCAAAGCGCCCCTTTACTTCCAGACCCCGGGCCCGGAGAGCGCCATCTACTTTGGAGCCCTGGTGCAGGTGGACAACATCCGAAGCCTGACGGACAAGAGGGTCACACAGGTCCTGAGCGGCTACCAGGGCTGCCTGGATTCCGTGGTCCTGAATAACAATGAGCTGCCCCTGCAGAACAAACGCAGCAGCTTCGCAGAGGTGGTGGGCCTCACTGAGCTCAAGCTGGGATGTGTCCTGTACCCGGACGCCTGTGAACGGAACCCCTGCCAGAACGGAGGGAGCTGTGCCAGCCTGCCCTCTGGAGGTAAGTGCTCTGCCTGCAGCCCAGCTCCCCAGCCCCTTTTGCCATCCACTCAGTGGCAGCTGAGACATGCACCCATTTCACGTTGGGACCCTGTTAGAAATGCGCCTCTTTGGATAGCGCCAGTCATCTGGAGCTTGCTGGCTTCTTCGGTGAGTGGCGAAGTGCCATGTGTTCATAACCATCGCTAACGTTCAGCAAAGGGAGGAATATACAAACCCCAGATCTGCGCAGGGCTCCTGAATCCTGTTTATATAGGAACCAAGGGCTTTGCAATTAGGGGAGGACTGAGCTCAGCCTCTCCTAGATCTATTTGTAGCATTAAAGGTAAGAAGCAAAGGTGGGAAAAGCTAAGCAGTGACCATCTTCCTTGGGTACGCTCCCAGCCCATTTATGTAGTTAGTGACTTTATAGGATCATAGATTTAGAACTAGAAGGAACTTTAGAGGCCACCTAGAAATCGAAGCCTGCAATCACGTAACGGCAGACCCAGATCTGAACGTTGCTTTTTTGTATTTTACTGCTGCGGTCCACGTCAACACTGAAGGAATTGCTTTAGTAAGGAAGGCCATAGATAATGATCCTACCCATGCATGGGAGCACAGAAATCATGAACCAGGTTTAAAGCATGTCCTAGTGAACAGAGGGGTGGATTTGCCATTAGAAGACCTGAGTTCAAATCCCAACTCTGCCACTTACCATCTGAGTGACCCAGGACAAATCACTTATCTTCTTTGGCCTTTGCTGTCCTCAGTTTTAATAAAATAGGAGGGTTGACTAGTCGGCCTCTAAGGTCCCTTCCAGTTCTAACTACATTCTTTGAGGTGAAATATTAATGAAACCTGAGCACAGGAGGGAAGAGGGAGAAGTGAATATAGCTATCCTGAATATCAAAAATAAGAGGGAAAATAGGCTTAGTACTGATGTTACTTTTGTCAGGTGAAATGTATGGATTGAGATAACAGTAATGATAAATGAGTAATGTAGGAGAAAGCCAGGCCTGAGGAAAGAATGTCTTACATGAAGTCTGAGAACAAATATAACAGTCTCAATAAGCATCTGATTTCCCCATTCCCCCCCACCTTGTCTCTCTCTCTCTCTCTCTCTCTCTCTCTCTCTCTCTCTCTCTCTCTCTTTCTCTCTTTCTGTGTCTTTCTCTCTCTCTCCCTCTGTCTCCCTCTGTCTCTCTCCTTCTCTCTCTCTCTCTCTCTCTCTCTCTCTCTCTCTCTCTCTCTCTCTCCCTCTCTCTCTCTCTCTCCATCTCTCTCTCTCTCTCTCTCTCTCTCTCTCTCTCTCTCTCTCTCTCTCCCTCTCCCTCTCTCTCCCTTTTTTTTCTCTCTGTCTCTCTGTCTGTCTCACAATTGCAAAAGACACCAGCAAGAGGAGGGAGGGAAATAATTTGGGATGGAGGATTAGCAGCAAAACATTTGTAGTTGCTTTTTGTTTTTGAGAAAGACACTGAGATTATTGAAGTCCCAGAGAATAAAGATGAAACAACTGCTTGACTTTGCTCGGATGAGGGATCTGAGTTAACTGTAAACTAAGTCAAGCATCCGTCCTTCTCCAAGGCAGCTGGGCATGGGAGCAGCTCTGCCATTGATTTTCCTCCAGCCTGTTTGCAGGATCACTCCACAGCTATGTGATTAGTAAATTTAAACCTTTCTCACAAATCGCTTGTAGCCTCCACAGTGTGTATTACAATCAAATACTCAGGAAGCCCAACTCCCAATTTAGAGTCCATCTTATTATTAGACTGGTATAAAGTGTCTATGAGATGATGCACTGCAGAAATACAGACAACCAAAGTTATTTAGACTTGCATATGTTACTGCCACAATGAGGGCCAAATACCCTAGGGGGATATTTCTGCTGTCTCAGTTTAAGAAATCTATTTGCCATTTTTACTGTCTCAGCAGTATATGTAAATAAAGGGTTGTTATAGTGCCATAATTCCCAAATGATGGGCACTAACTATACTTCAGTAGTTCTATAAACCAGCCCATTATGACAAGTCATGGCCAGTTTTTCACCAGGCAAAACAATTCTGCTAGTGTGAGCCATCTACGATATATAAAAGGAGCATATAATTAAATCGGGTTGAAATAGAACTCCACTCCATGTCAAATGCTAGTTACACAACCACAAATTGTAATATACTTTTAACGATGGCAGGACATTGTGTTTGCTGGCATTACTACCAGAACCCACAGTGGGTTTCCTTTAAAAAAAATAATAATAATGAGAAAGCTAAAAAGCTAAAACTCTACTCTTCCCCTTATATTTTTTATTATTTGCTTGCAATATTGTTACTAAGCTTTTTCTCTGGATGATAAGTCATCAGTAAAGGCCATTTCAGCATAGGTTGCTGATTATAATCGATCACAAATATGCAGTTTACTGATGTTTTAATTATTTCTTTGATAGCATGTCAGATTAAAGCATTGTGGAGCTGGAAGGAACCCTGGAGGTCATTTGAGGCTAACCTCTTCATTTTGCCGACGAGGAACCTGGATCAGGATCCTCAGTACTGAAAATTGTATTGGATTTGGGGTCAGAAGAGCTGGGTTCAAATCCTGGGGCTCTTCCACTTACTATCTTTGTGACTTTGGTCTAATCATAGAGCAGTGCCTTTGGAATCTAAGGAGCCAGGTTCACATTTAACCTCAGATATCTTCAACCTGTAACTTCTCCAAACCTCCATTTCTTCATCTGTGGAGTGAGGGGACTTGAACGAGTTCTGCATCTTCTCTGGGCCTCAGTTTCCTCATCTGTAAAATGAGGGGGGTTGACTGGAGGGCTTCTACAATTCCTTCCATCTCTAAAGCTATGATCCTAAATAACTTGTTCTTACTTCTGGTGCCAACAGATTTACACTCCACCATATTGCCCCTTAGTAGAAAGCATAATAAAAATAGACAGCATTTATAGAAGTCATCCTAGTTATGTCTGACTCTCTCTGACCCCATTTGGGGTTTTTTTGGCAGGGATACTGTAGTGGTTTGCATTTTGCAGCTCATTTTACAGCAACCAGGGTTAAGTGACTTGCCTAGGGTCACACAGCTAGTAAGTGTCTGAAGTAGGATTTGAACTCAGGTCTTTCTGACTCCAGGCCTGGTGCTCTATCCACTGATATGTGTGTTTGTGTGCATCTGCCCATTACTACAATGATAGTGTTACCTCTGTTTAACAGATGAAAAAAGTGAGGCACAGAGAGATTGGGTGGTTCTCCGTGAACCACATAGCTAGTCAGCTTTTAAGGCAGAATTTGAATTCAGATCTTCCTAACTCCAAGTCCAACACTGTTTACATAGCTCAGCTACCTTTAAGTTCCTACTTTTCACCATTTCCTAAAGTAAATTGCTTTCATCTTCCCTGCTATGCCAATCCCCAGGACCCCTAATCTTGCCTCTGGACCACTTTACTCAAGCTCCTACTCCACCCAGTCTCCCCATACCTCATGCAAGGGAGCTCATCGTAACAACATCAGAAGGCAGACTTCTCTTTGGAGGAACAGATGAAACTTTATTAGGGTCTTATCTTCCCTCTGCACAGGAAAACTGACTTTCTCCTAAGGGTAGAGCTTTAGCTAGGTGCTACAGTGAATAGAACTGGACCTGGGCTCAGGAAGATGTGAGTTCAAATCCACACTCTGACATTGGGCAAGTCACTTCACCTCTGCTTGCCTCGATTTCCTCATCTGTAAAATGGGGATAATCACAGCACCTACCTCCCAGAGCTGTTGTAAGGCTCAAATAAGATAATAATTATAGAGCACAATGTCCAGAACATAGTAAGCGCTATGTAAACGTTAGCGGTTATTGTTATCACTCCCACTCTCTGTGCTCTCAGTCTAAGGCAAGAATCACCCCCTTGCGGCTTTATCCCATGTGGCCTTTATTTCCCATCTTTTTGTGTGGGCTAATTCCCAAGCACAGCTTGGGGTTCTGACAAACCTCCAGGACTGCTCCGGATTGAAGAAGCAGCCTGGGTTTGAATCACAGCCCTGCTGCCTTATTGTTATGTCCTGTTAGGCAAGCAGCAGTATCTCTCTAAGCCAGGTCATCTGAACTGGTTTTAAGTCATGGACCCCTGTGCTCCTCTGGTGAATCCTACAGACCCTTTCTCAGAATTACGTTCGTAAATGCACAATGTAAACTGTATACAATTGTGGAGGAAACACATTCTATTGAAATGCAGCTATCAAAATGCTTTTTTAACATCACAGACCCCAGGCTGAGAACCCTTGATCCAGGCAGGCCTTGTTCCTCTGGTAGGTAGGACCAGATGGCTGCTGAGGTGTCTTTCACCTCTAGATTGATGATCCTTAGATGACCGCTACTGTCCCTTTCAGCTATAAATCCCATTATCACACAGAGCCCAATTCAACAGAAGTGAAGGGATGATAGAGACTTTCTTTCCAGCACAGTCAGCATCATTTTTAATTGTTTACTATTTACCAGACACTCGCCCAAGGCTACAAATAAGGTCAGAAACAGTCCCTGCCCTCGAGGAGCTCCCATTCTAATGGAACAGACCAGGTGTAATAACTAGGGCCATATAAGCTGAAAATCAGGAAGCCAGGAAGACTAAGAGGGAGAAGTGAGCCCGCCAAGCCTTGGTGGCATGTCATCTATTTATACAGAACTGGGAGTGGAGTCTTGTGTGTAAAGAGCTGCCTGCAGGCCACTGTGGCTGGATCGGAGGGTGTGTGGAAGGGGAGAGTAAAGGGTGAGGAGACCAGAAAGGTAGGAAGGGGGTAAATGCCAGACACAGAACCCAAGGAGAGAGTTTCCATTCTAGTTCGTAGCATGCCTCCAGTCTCCCTCGATGCTTGAAGAGAGAAGATAAAGGGACCATATTTGAGCTTTTATCATTTCTTTTACAGTGGAGACTTTCTGCTAAGCATTCATACCCTGTCAGCAAACACACTAAAATAGGCCCAAGAACATTTCCCAGTGTTATACGCTGAAAAAGGAGCCAGCAACTCATTCCTTAATTCAGAC